TAATTGGCGGATGGAGTATTTTGACTAGTAATTTTGCCAAAATTATTTTACTAAAGAAAATTCTTGTAAATAATCATCTAATGAACAACAAAACCAATTGTTTATTAACAAATAAATTTTAAAAGCCCTTATCTTCGCAAAATTCGAAAATTTGATTGTCTGCTAATTGGCGGATGGAGTATTTTTAGTAGTAATTTTGCCGAAATTATTTAAAAAATGAAAATTCTTGTAAATAATCATCTAATGAACAATAGGCAACAACAAAACCAATTGTTTATTAACAAATAAATTTTAAAAGCCCTTAGCTTCGCAAAACTCGAAAATTCGATTGTCTGCTAATTGGCGGATGGAGTATTTTGACTAGTAATTTTGACAAAATTATTTCAAAAATGAAAATTCTTGTAAATAATCATCTAATGAACAATAGGCAACAACAAAACCAATTGTTTATTAACAAATAAATTTTTTAAAGCCCTTAGATTCGCAATACTCGAAAATTCGATTGTCTGCTAATTGGCGGATGGAGTATTTTGACTAGTAATTTTGCCAAAATTATTTATAAATTCAAAATTCTTAAAAATAATCATCTAATGAACAATAGGCAACAACAAAACCAATTGTTTATTAACAAATAAATTTTAAAAGCCCTTAGCTTCGCAATACTCGAAAATTCGATTGTCTGCTAATTGGCGGATGGAGTATTTTGACTAGTAATTTGCCAAAGTTATTTATAAATTAAAAATTGTTGTAAATAATCATCTAATGAACAATAGGCAACAACAAAACCAATTGTTTATTAACAAATAAATTTTAAAAGCCCTTATCTTCGCAAAATTCGAAAATTCGATTGTCTGCTAATTGGCGGATGGAGTATTTTTAGTAGTAATTTTGCCGAAATTATTTAAAAAATGAAAATTCTTGTAAATAATCATCTAATGAACAATAGGCAACAACAAAACCAATTGTTTATTAACAAATAAATTTTAAAAGCCCTTAGCTTCGCAAAACTCGAAAATTCGATTTTTTGCTAATTGGCGGATGGAAAATTTTGACTAGTAATTTTGCCAAAATTATTTTACTAAAGAAAATTCTTGTAAATAATCATCTAATGAACAATAGGCAACAACAAAACCAATTGTTTATTAACAAATAAATTTTTTAAAGCCCTTAGATTCGCAATACTCGAAAATTCGATTGTCTGCTAATTGGCGGATGGAGTATTTTGACTAGTAATTTTGCCAAAATTATTTATAAATTCAAAATTCTTAAAAATAATCATTCAATGAACAATAGGCAACAACAAAACCAATTGTTTATTAACAAATAAATTTTAAAAGCCCTTAGCTTCGCAATACTCGAAAATTCGATTGTCTGCTAATTGGCGGATGGAGTATTTTGACTAGTAATTTGCCAAAGTTATTTATAAATTAAAAATTCTTGTAAATAATCATCTAATGAACAATAGGCAACAACAAAACCAATTGTTTATTAACAAATAAATTTTAAAAGCCCTTAGCTTCGCAAAACTCGAAAATTCGATTGTCTGCTAATTGGCGGATGGAGTATTTTGACTAGTAATTTTGTTAAAATTATTTATAAATTAAAAATTCTTGTAAATAATCATCTAATGAACAATAGGCAACAACAAAACCAATTGTTTATTAACAAATAAATTTGAAAAGCCCTTAGCTTCGCAAAACTCGAAAATTCGATTGTCTGCTAATTGGCGGATGGAGTATTTTGACTAGTAATTTTGCCAAAATTATTTATAAATTCAAAATTCTTGTAAATAATCATCTAAGGAACAAAAGGCAACAACATAATCAATTGCTTCAGACGTGTTTTGATTTTGTTGAAAATTGTTGTTGGAAATTTAAGAAGACTTTGGTAACGGATATTTGTCCTGTTTATCCAGACTTTTACAATACTATCGGCCCTTTTCAGGGCCAACATACACGTTTTTTGAATATTTTTGTTCTTTCAATACATTTTTATTTTTACCAAAATTTAAACTAACCGCTTCTTTGCTATTTTATATACAAGAAAATTAATTACATCGATTTTCAAAATTCTGTTTTTTCAAATTAATTTCTCATTCAATGTAAAATAAAAATAGAATCTGTTTTTCAGTTTTTGAAAAGCAACCTCAAAGGCCAACGCCCATTTTTCGGAACGCCCGCGTTTGTGGAGCTTGCGATAGAAAAGGACACAAACAGATCGCTGTCCTTGTCTGTTTCATGTTTCCAAATCTCGGAACGTTTTTGGTCAAAATATTCTTGCTTAGTTTCCATTATTTTTTCGAATATCATGTTAATTAGATTAATTTCTCGAAACAATATTAATTTGCATTATTTTTTCGAATATCAGTTGATTTTATTTCCGAAACTTTATTATTTTTAGCCCTATTTTTCTCGAATATTGATATAACCTAAAAATTATTTACAACTAATTCCATTTGACATAATATTTATGAAGTAAAATTGCAGTCGATAAAATTGAACTAAATTATAATTTATTACGTATTTCTTCATTCCGAATTATCTTAATTTTTTTCATTCGGTATAATCTTCTGTCAATCGTTGGTACATAGGAAAAATTGTTATTTTATTATAATAACCGATGACTTGTCTATTTTCAAATAAATATTTGCTTGAATCAAATAAATCGTATTTGATTTTAATTGTTTTAGTATATGATATATTCAACAATTCCGGTGATTGTAGCTACAATCAAGTGATTTGTTCAGATAAAAATATTTAATTGAAAGGTTTGGTTGAACTAAAGAAACATTTAATAATAGCAATGCATTTGTTTAATTAATTCAACCATCCATTAAATAAATCCATTATTGCTGGGTCAGACCAGCTCAACTGAGTTAGAAAAAATTTTATTGCATTTCTAAAATGTTAAAACTTATTTATGAAAATCTGTAGTTTACAACAAAACCAAAGAAATGCTTTTAATCGTTTTTTTCAAATTTTCAAATTTTGTTATTTTTTTGCATTAACAAAATATTACAAAATTTAAAAAAAATTAATAACTCAAAAGCCGTTCACAATAAATTAATGAAACTTGCACTGATTACAAAAAATTGTTCACTCTTTGAAAAGAAAATATTTGCATGATTAAAAATTTAAAGATTCTATATTTTTAATAACAATCTTTTGTAATCAGTGCAAGTTTCATTTTTTTTTTTAAAACGGCGTTTAATTTTTTTTAAATTTTGTAACATTTTGTTAATGTAAAAAAATAACAAAAATTTAAAATTTGAAAAAACACGATTAAAAGGGTTTTTTTGTTTTGTTGTGAATTACAGATTTTCATAAAAGTTTTAAAATTTTAGAAAAGCAATGAAATTTTTTTTAACTCAGTTGAGCTGGACTGACCCAGCAATAATGCATTTATTTAACGGTTGGTTGAATTAATTAAATAATTGCATTGCTATTATTAAATGTTTCTTTAGTTTAACCAAACCTTTCAATTAAATATTTTTATTTAAACAAATCACTTGACATTTTATAATTTGTCTCAATTCCAAATAAAACAGAATTAAATGACGATATTTTTTAACAAAAATTTCCTAATAGCAAGAATGTGATTTAGGTGTAAATAACATTATTAAATATATTCTTTAATATAATTCATTTGAATAATGTAATAGGATTATATTTAATCAATAAAATTTACTACTTCATTAATATCTTTTATCATTTAATTATTAATAACATGTACTACACAATTAATAATAATTATTATTTTTCTTTCAACAATTCCGGTGATTGTAGCTACAATTGTTGAATATATCATGATACAAACTTGAAACTTAGGAACTTTTTCGTAATGTATTTCGTCTGTTTTAAGAATTACGAGAAACAAAATGGCGGCGGAGAAATGAAACAGCTGATTCACTTGACATTTTATCATTCGTCTCAATTCCAAATTGTTATATATATTGTATATATATTATATATATATGTATACCTACGAATGACAAAAGATTATTCCGATTGAAAAAAATTAAGATAATTCGGAATGAAGAAATACGTTATAAATTATAATTTAGTTTAATTTTATCGACTGCAATTTTACTTTATAAATATTATGTCAAATGGAATTAGTTGTAAATAATTTTTAGGTTATATCAATATTCGAGAAAAATAAGGCGAAAAATAATAAAGTTTCGGAAATATTTTTCGAGAAATAAAATCAAGTGATATTCGAAAAAATAATGAAAATTAACATTGTTTTGAGAAATTGATTTAATTAACATGATATTCGAAAAAATAATGGAAACTAAGCAAGAATATTTTGCCAAAAATCGTTCTGAGATTTGGAAACATGAAACAGACAAGGACAGCAATATGTTTGTGTCCTTTTCTATCGCAAGCTCCACAAACGCGGGCGTTCCGAAAAAAGGGCGTTGGCCTTTAGGGTTACTTTTCAAAAACTAAAAAACAGAGTCTATTTTTATTTCACATATTGAATAAGAAATTAATTTGAAAAAACGGAGTTTTGAAACTCGACGTAATTAATTTTCTTGTATATAAAATAGCAAAGAAGCGGTTAGTTTAATATTTGGTAAAAATAATAATGTATTGAAAGAACGAAAATATTCAAAAAATGTATGTTGGCCCTTAAAAGGGCCGATTGTTTTGTAAAAGTCTGGATATCAGAACAAATATCCATTCCCAAGGTCTTTTTGAATTTCCAACAACAAATTTCAACAAAATAAAAACACGTCTGAAGCAATCGTGAGTTCACGAGAAAATGGTGTCCGATCGTGAAATGGCGACTTCTTTTACGTGCGCCACAAGTAGAGGGAAAAGCAATCTGATTGGCGGGCGCACTCAGTGTACCCTTCCCTCGGAGAAAAGTGTCACTGGTGGGGACGTAACTCGGCGCGCATGCATAAATACCCTTGCGTTTTGTGAAAATGTCACAAAACACCTGCAAGAAGAGTCTCAAGCGCCAGAAGGATTTCTCAAATTTCAAAACAAGAAATGGATCAACTGAGGAAATCTGAAGAAGCTCCGCGTCCTTTCATCGGCGGCCAAGGAAGAAGATACTTTCCGAATGTGCCATGTGAGGTGCCCTTTGGAAAATTCCCGTCGAAATTCATCCCAAGGCTCTTTGCACGGAAAAATCGACTTGCTCTGAAGGCGAAAATTCAACGAGCAAAAAAATTGAAGAGGTACGTGTCGGAGTCATCGGGTACAGACGACGATGACTTTTACTGTCCACCGTCGTCAAGTCCAGTGGGAAGTGCGATGACAGTGACGTCATCTACCATGGGATCGGAGCGTACAAGAACGTTGTCATCATCATCAACGTCCGATGATGAGAACAATAACTGTACGAAGTCTCTGGATGGAATAGCTGCACTAAAGAAGATACCGGACTCTTTAAATCTGTCAACCTCAAGTACAGATGAGGATGAAGAGTCATCATCATCGAGTTCCTGTTGCCCGACTTGTTGCTCTTGCTCATCATCGTCTTCTTCTGACGATGAGGAGACTAACAAGAGTTCATAAGGACATTGTGCAAAATTTTTATTTGCACTAATAATCGGCCCTTTTCAGGGCCAACAAATATTTTTACGTGGAATTATAAGGTTCAAAACATTTAACATTGAGGCTGAAGTCCCATGGCAGCGTTTTGCGTTGCGTTTTGTAACTAGGCAATGAGTGTGAGAGAAATGGAGATATATGTTTGCTATATTTGCACTCATGGCCTAGTTACAAAACGCAACGCAAAACGCTGCCATGGGACTCCACCCTGAGTCACGTACTCTTTGAAGGTCCATTCACAAGTAAGTCGAATGCACAAAAGAGGAAAGCATAAGTGCGAGAGAGATAGAAGTATGCTTCTGCTTCTCTCACACTTATTAATTTTTCACTTTTTGTTTTAATTCTGTTTACTTTGGAGTGCACCATTAATAAAAAAAATTAATTCGTATCGACTATTTCGAATTAAAAGAATTCGTTATAGTGGGTCGAGAAAATAAAGCAAAGTCGAGAAATTAACTTTCTTGACAAAAGTCTGAGAGGTTATGTTTACTCTTTCTATTTCTTTGAGTTAAACATAACCTAAGACTACAAATTTTTTTGTATTTTGATTATACAATATAATAACTTATATTCTGAAGTATTCAACATAAAAATATTAAAAAAAGAATAATAAAAGAATATTAAAAACATGGTGGTCGTGGCCTAAAAGCCAACGCAGAATAAATTTGTGAACGTTGTTTGCTACTGTGAATAAGCATGAGATAGAAAAGGATAGACGTATACGTCTGTCCTTTTCTGTCCTACACATTGCTTTCAGATTCATTACGTCATAATTTTAAATATTTCTTCTCCATCTTCAAATTAAACAAATTCAAATTTATTTTATCATATTTTAAATCGTCGCTTGGGGGCAGCAACATGCCGACTTAGCTAAACGGTGAAAAAGATGCCGTTTCAAAAGAAAAGTGAAAAACATGCCATTTCACGAAACCTGTGGAAACTATGCCTCGCCGCGAAAGCGCTGAGAAACATACCTTCTCCAAACGAACGGTGAAGAACATGCCTTTTCAGCCTTTTTAATATAATATTAACGATTGAAAAGGCATGTTCTTTAACGTTCGTTTGGAGAAGGTATGTTTCTCAACGCTTTCGCGGCGAGGCATAGTTTCCACAGGCTTCGTGAAATGGCATGTTTTTCCCTTTTCTTTTCGAAACGGCAATCTTTTTCACAGTTTAGCTGAGTCGGCATGTTGCTGCCCCCAAGCGACGAAATGATCTAGTTGTAAAATTTATAGAAAAAAAATTTTAATCGAAAAATTGTCAAATAGTAAAATTACATAAAACATTTTGTGTGTTGTTAATTGACATAGAAAAATATTAATTATGTATATATAGTATTTTTTGACAACGTTACGCTTAAAGTAAAATTTTCTCTGAAAATTGTGAAACTAAGCTCATCAAAATTCACTCAAATATAAATATGAATTATGGCTCTTAATTTTTTTTACCCTAAAACGGCTCGGTTAAACTAGCGACCCGCCGGCCGCCACCCATCAGAAGAATCCATAGGCGCCAACACACATAGTAGCGCGATGGCCCTAAACGGTTCAATTAACGCAAAAAAACGTACGCTAGCTATTACAGTTTATTAAAAATATTTTCAATTGTCACATTTTCAAGAGCAATAATCCCCCTTTAATTTCTGACAAAGAAATAAACATTTGGTCAAAAATTATTCGAGTTATGAATTTTTTTCCGATTTTTTTTCCAATTTTCGTTTTTCTGATACGGGCGGGTGGGGACGCTGACTATCAAAAATTTTTTAAATAAATTCTTATTGGTCACATTTTAAGGACCATTAATCGCTCTTTAATTTGCGACCAAGAAACAAAGAATTGGTCTAAAATTATTCGAGTTATGAATTTTTTCCGATTTTTTTTCCAATTTTCGTTTTTCTGATACGGGCGGGTGGGGACGCTGACTATCAAAAATTTTTTAAATAAATTCTTATTGGTCACATTTTAAGAAGTATTAATCGCTCTTTAATTTGCGACCAAGAAACAAAGAATTGGTCTAAAATTATTCGAGTTATGAATTTTTTTCCGTTTTTTTTTCCAATTTTCGTTTTTCTGATACGGGCGGGTGGGGACGCTGACTATCAAAAATTTTTTAAATAAATTCTTATTGGTCACATTTTAAGGACCATTAATCGCTCTTTAATTTGCGACCAAGAAACAAAGAATTGGTCTAAAATTATTCGAGTTATGAATTTTTTCCGATTTTTTTTCCAATTTTCGTTTTTCTGATACGGGCGGGTGGGGACGCTGACTATCAAAAATTTTTTAAATAAATTCTTATTGGTCACATTTTAAGAAGGATTAATCGCTCTTTAATTTGCGACCAAGAAACAAAGAATTGGTCTAAAATTATTCGAGTTATGAATTTTTTCCGATTTTTTTTCCAATTTTCGTTTTTCTGATACGGGCGGGTGGGAACGCTGACTATCAAAAATTTTTTAAATAAATTCTTATTGGTCACATTTTAAGAAGGATTAATCGCTCTTTAATTTGCGACCAAGAAACAAAGAATTGGTCTAAAATTATTCGAGTTATGAATTTTTTTCCGATTTTTTTTCCAATTTTCGTTTTTCTGATACGGGCGGGTGGGGACGCTGACTATCAAAAATTTTTTAAATAAATTCTTATTGGTCACATTTTAAGGACCATTAATCCTTCTTTAATTTGCGACCAAGAAACAAAGAATTGGTCAAAAATTATTCGAGTTATGAATTTTTTTCCAATTTTCGTTATTCTGATACGGGCGGGTGGGGACGCTGACTATCAAAAATTTTTTAAATAAATTCATATTGTTCACATTTTAAGAAGGATTAATCGCTCTTTAATTTGCGACCAAGAAACAAAGAATTGGTCTAAAATTATTCGAGTTATGAATTTTTTTCCGATTTTGTTTCCAATTTTCGTTTTTCTGATACGGGCGGGTGGGGACGCTGACTATCAAAAATTTTTTAAATAAATTCATATTGGTCAAATTTTAAGGACCATTAATCCCTCTTTAATTTGCGACCAAGAAACAAAGAATTGGTCAAAAATTATTCGAGTTATGAATTTTTTTCCGATTTTTTTTCCAATTTTCGTTTTTCTGATACGGGCGGGTGGGGACGCTGACTATCAAAAATTTTTTAAATAAATTCTTATTGGTCACATTTTAAGAAGGATTAATCGCTCTTTAATTTGCGACCAAGAAACAAAGAATTGGTCTAAAATTATTCGAGTTATGAATTTTTTTCCGATTTTTTTTCCAATTTTCGTTTTTCTGATACGGGCGGGTGGGGACGCTGACTATCAAAAATTTTTTAAATAAATTCTTATTGGTCACATTTTAAGGACCATTAATCCTTCTTTAATTTGCGACCAAGAAACAAAGAATTGGTCAAAAATTATTCGAGTTATGAATTTTTTTCCAATTTTCGTTATTCTGATACGGGCGGGTGGGGACGCTGACTATCAAAAATTTTTTAAATAAATTCATATTGTTCACATTTTAAGAAGGATTAATCGCTCTTTAATTTGCGACCAAGAAACAAAGAATTGGTCTAAAATTATTCGAGTTATGAATTTTTTTCCGATTTTGTTTCCAATTTTCGTTTTTCTGATACGGGCGGGTGGGGACGCTGACTATCAAAAATTTTTTAAATAAATTCATATTGGTCAAATTTTAAGGACCATTAATCCCTCTTTAATTTGCGACCAAGAAACAAAGAATTGGTCAAAAATTATTCGAGTTATGAATTTTTTTCCGATTTTTTTTTCCAATTTTCGTTTTTCTGATACGGGCGGGTGGGGACGCTGACTATCAAAAATTTTTTAAATAAATTCTTATTGGTCACATTTTAAGAAGGATTAATCGCTCTTTAATTTGCGACCAAGAAACAAAGAATTGGTCTAAAATTATTCGAGTTATGAATTTTTTTCCGATTTTTTTTCCAATTTTCGTTTTTCTGATACGGGCGGGTGGGGACGCTGACTATCAAAAATTTTTTAAATAAATTCTTATTGGTCACATTTTAAGGACCATTAATCCTTCTTTAATTTGCGACCAAGAAACAAAGAATTGGTCAAAAATTATTCGAGTTATGAATTTTTTTCCAATTTTCGTTTTTCTGATACGGGCGGGTGGGGACGCTGACTATCAAAAATTTTTTAAATAAATTCATATTGTTCACATTTTAAGAAGGATTAATCGCTTTTTAATTTGCGACCAAGAAACAAAGAATTGGTCTAAAATTATTCGAGTTATGAATTTTTTTCCGATTTTTTTTCCAATTTTCGTTTTTCTGATACGGGCGGGTGGGGACGCTGACTATCAAAAATTTTTTAAATAAATTCATATTGGTCACATTTTAAGGACCATTAATCCTTCTTTAATTTGCGACCAAGAAACAAAGAATTGGTCTAAAATTATTCGAGTTATGAATTTTTTTCCGATTTTTTTTCCAATTTTCGTTTTTCTGATACGGGCGGGTGGGGACGCTGACTATCAAAAATTTTTTAAATAAATTCTTATTGGTCACATTTTAAGGACCATTAATCTCTCTTTAATTTGCGATCAAGAAGGAAAGAATTGGTCAAAAATTATTCGAGTTATGAATTTTTTTCCGATTTTTTTTTCCAATTTTCGTTTTTCTGATACGGGCGGGTGGGGACGCTGACTATCAAAAAATTTTTAAATAAATTCTTATTGGTCAAATTTTAAGGACTATTAATCCTTCTTTAATTTGCGACCAAGAAACAAAGAATTGGTCAAAAATTATTCGAGTTATGAATTTTTTTCCGATTTTTTTTCCAATTTTCGTTTTTCTGATACGGGCGGGTGGGGACGCTGACTATCAAAAATTTTTTAAATAAATTCTTATTGGTCACATTTTAAGGACCATTAATCTCTCTTTAATTTGCGATCAAGAAGGAAAGAATTGGTCAAAAATTATTCGAGTTATGAATTTTTTT